TTCCCTCTAATAATTGACTGAACCAGGACTTTAGGATAATGTTTAATTGCCTGGGTTCAATTCAGTTGAATTAAAACAGTTCATTTGAATTAAAACAGTTCATAAACAGTTCATTTTGATATATTGCATTTTCTTCATATTGCACCTATCAAGTAATGATTGTTGGTCATAAAGTATTGAATAAATGCTTTTTTTTAAGAATTAACTTTTTTTCTTTCCTAATTGGTAATTTGTGACTAAAAATTGTTTTAAAAAAAATATAATTTAATTTGTATAGAAAATATCTAATAAAACTAAAAAAATATACTAAACTAAAAAAATGTTTTTAAAGAGTCAAAAGTCTAATAAAAATACAAAAAATCTAATAAAATTACAATAATTAACAAAAAAAAACATTACTAACAAACAGCATGGATAACATATACACAAACAGCCCTCGGAATTCGGCATTCTGCAGTGCTGAATTCCAAGGGCTTTTAGAGTCACCATTCTGCAATGCCGACTTAAAAGTGTTTGAGGCCAGCAAAAAATTGCCGTCCTCAATTCTTTGTTTTGTTGTAACTCCTTTGTATCAAAGTTTTTTTGCCAACCTGATGCCGACCTTTAACAGTATGAGGTCGGCAATAAATTGCTGATTTTAATTGGCACTGAAAATATTAGAATATTAAAGTTTATATTGCTAATAATTTGATCTGGGGCTGTAGGTGTCATGTTTTGCGTACTTTACACAATTACATGGTTTTAAATACCAACTTTTAACAGTTTTTCAGAAAAAGAATAATAAAAGAATCAATGAAAATGTTACATATTTTTAATTAATTTTACATAATTTTAATTAACTTCATTTTCAGATTCCTGGTAAACAATAGGCACAAATATCTGGCATTTTAACTTTTGTATATTGTATATTGTTTTATAGAATTAAATATTATTTTTAGACCTTCAAAAACCATTATCACAACAATTACTATCTACTCCAAAATCAGCTAGTTCCAAACCTCCTAATCTTGTTGATTTTAGTAAGTAAATTAGCTTTTAATTGAAAAATGTTACATTGCTGTTTAAGATTCTACTAATTTAAGGTGGAATTGAGACAGTGTATAAAAATCTGTAAAACAAGTAAAAGTAGAAATATATATAAAGTATATTCAGTGTGTTCCAATCTTCCACAGTGGAATTTAAGTGGTTTTTTGTCTCATAAATTCTTTTGAATAGTTGTTTGATTTAGTTTTGTGTCAAACAACATGTAAAACCAAAGTTGGAATTTCTACAAAGTGTTATGATAAAGTATCATGTGAATATTCTGTTATGAAGTTTAATAAGAGTTATTTAATTCAACAAAATCATTACAACCTTAATTATTATAATTATTATACTCTTAAATATTATAATTATTATAATCCTTATTATTATAATTATTACTATCTTAATTGTTGTAATAATAAGTTTTTTTTTTTTTTTTCAACTTTTAGACACACCAAATCCAACCACTATTTTCACACCTGTTATAACTAAATGCAATTCTGAAAATATAGTTCCTGAAATTCCAAAATTAAATCGAATTGCAAAACCAGCTCAGAAATCAGTAGAGGAACCAGAAGTTGAAGTTATCTCTATTGATTCAGATACAGATGATGAAACCACAATCTTGCTTCCAACAATGGCTCAGAGGTATTTTTCAAATAATGGTTTCTATATTTAAAACATATTTTAAATTAGTTTTTTATAAAATATAATAAAGTTATAAAATGTTTTAGATGTTGAATTATAGTTTTTATATTTTTATTTACTATTATGTCATTATTTGTATTGTTTATTATTTATTATTTGTTGAAAACTTTTTATTAAATATTTATTTTGTTATGTTACTTTGTCAAAAAGTGGAAAAAAAGGCAGACTTACAGTTTCTTTACTTTTATCAAAGTTGTAGATAATATTGTAAAACACATTATAAAGAGCTGAAAAATTTTAAATATAATTTTTTTTAATATAATTTATATTTACATTTAAATAAGGAAATATATTTTTTTGTAGATAAAATAATTTTATGAATTATTTTATCTACATATTTTTTTGAATAAAATAATAGTTTGTAGAACTTCTCAACAATCTCAAAAAATTCATTATTATCCAGGTTTTCTAGGTTTATTTGTTACTGTTTTTTACAATAACAAATAATCATAGATACGATTTTAAATGGTACTCAACTATTTTATAACTTGCTATATGTGGATAATGTTTAAAGTTTAATATTTTGTAATGAAATAAATGAAAGCAATTTTCACCACCTAATCTGTTGGGTTTTTTTTGGTTTTTTAATTTTTTTGCTAATTCACCTCCCCAAACCCAAGAAGTCTACTACAGACAGACTACTTTTTGTTGAATTACTTTATTTAATCCATTTAATGTTTGGGTATGTTAACCATTACCAGTAATAAGTCAGGTGGAAATACACACCCAGGTGTTTTTTCTAGTGATTACATTCCTGAGACCCAGCACTTTTTATGTTCCTGTAATGTTAGATATCAATCCTGTAATGTTAGATATCAATCCTATAATGTTAGATATCAATCCTGGAGTGTTAGATATCAATCCTTTAATTCTTTAGAAATGATTACTTTTGCTTTTTTTTATAAAAATATTTTTAAAATATTTTTAAAAAAGGGGGGATTTAATGTAACTATTATTTGAGCTCACTTATTTTTATAGTTTTTTAGGAGAAATTTATTTTCGTGCCTGCATTTAGTAATCAATTCCGATTTTTTGCTTAACAAACATTCTTGGTTTGCATGTGTAATTATTTAAAATTTTTCTTGTAGACATAGTATACATTTTTTGGAAATATTGTTGTATGCAGGCACTGTTTTAAGGATGGACCAATTCAGTATAAAATCATCAATATTTTTATCTTTTAGTTCTTATATATATTTTGACAGCATGGTGTCTTTTGAATACTTGTCTTTTGAATAATTTTGACACCATGCTGTCAAAATATATATGGGAACTAAAAGATAAAAATATTGATGATTTTATACTGAATTGGTCCATCCTTAAAACAGCGTCTGCATACAACAATATTTCCAAAAAATGCATACTATGCAAACCAAGAATGTTTGTTAAACAAAAAATTGGAATTGATTTTTAAATGTAGACACGAAAATAAGTTTCTCCTAAAAAACTATAAAAATAAGTCAGCTCAAATAATAGTAACATTAAATCCCCCCCCCCCCTTTTTAAAAATATTTTTATTAAAAAAAAGCATAAATAATCATTTCAAAAGAATTCTTTTTATAATAGGTCGGCAAATTCCACAAATGTGTGAAAATTTACAGTAGTTAAAATATTTACGACTTCCTGTAAATTAATTTTTTGGTATAAATTGAAGTTTTATTAATTTGATCATTCATTTCAGATGAGTCTTTGTTGATGAAACACTGTGTAAAATGAAAAAAAAAAAAAATTGTTTAGTGATTTTCTACAAATTTATAATTGCTCTGTTTTTTTGAGCAACATTGAACACTCTATTTTGTAGAATACATTTTTAAAATTATATATATATATATATATATATATATATATGTGTGTGTGTGTGTGTGTGTGTGTGTGTGTGTGTGTGTGTGTGTGTGTGTGTGTGTGTGTGTGTGTGTGTCTGTGTAGCTCTTGACAAGCTATATCTAAGTGTACCATCAAACATGTACTTCACCTGGTCTTCTTTATGTCCAGCGTTAAGGCTGTTTTTGTTTGGTCTAATATGTAAATTGTAGTAAAATGCTTTATGATACACAAAGATAGAGCTTGTTAAGAGCTACAAAAATATATATAACAGTATGAGGTTTTGTTCTTTTAATATAGAATTATTTCTAAAATTAGTTTGTCCGGATACTTTTTTCCTTTATAAGAAATCTGTCTTTGTCAGTTAACTCAATTTGTAATCATGTAGTAGTCTAAAAAATGAGATTATAAACAATTCATCAAATTATAAGAAACAATTCATCAAATTATAAGAAACAATTCATCAAATTATAAGAAACAATTTATCAAATTATAAGAAACAATTCATCAAATTATAAGAAACAATTCATCAAATTATAAGAAACAATTCATCAAATTATAAGAAACAATTCATCAAATTATAAGAAACAATTCATCAAATTATAAGAAACAATTCATCAAATTATAAGAAACAATTCATCAAATTATAAGAAACAATTCATCAAATTATAAGAAACAATTCATCAAATTATAAGAAACAATTCATCAAATTATAAGAAACAATTTATCAAATTATAAGAAACAATTCATCAAATTATAAGAAACAATTCATCAAATTATAAGAAACAATTCATCAAATTATAAGAAACAATTTATCAAATTATAAGAAACAATTCATCAAATTATAAGAAACAATTCATCAAATTATAAGAAACAATTCATCAAATTATAAGAAACAATTCATCAAATTATAAGAAACAATTCATCAAATTATAAGAAACAATTTATCAAATTATAAGAAACAATTCATCAAATTATAAGAAACAATTCATCAAATTATAAGAAACAATTCATCAAATTATAAGAAACAATTCATCAAATTATAAGAAACAATTCATCAAATTATAAGAAACAATTCATCAAATTATAAGAAACAATTCATCAAATTATAAGAAACAATTCATCAAATTATAAGAAACAATTCATCAAATTATAAGAAACAATTCATCAAATTATAAGAAACAATTCATCAAATTATAAGAAACAATTCATCAAATTATAAGAAACAATTTATCAAATTATAAGAAACAATTCATCAAATTATAAGAAACAATTCATCAAATTATAAGAAACAATTCATCAAATTATAAGAAACAATTCATCAAATTATAAGAAACAATTCATCAAATTATAAGAAACAATTCATCAAATTATAAGAAACAATTCATCAAATTATAAGAAACAATTCATCAAATTATAAGAAACAATTCATCAAATTATAAGAAACAATTCATCAAATTATAAGAAACAATTCATCAAATTATAAGAAACAATTCATCAAATTATAAGAAACAATTCATCAAATTATAAGAAACAATTCATCAAATTATAAGAAACAATTCATCAAATTATAAGAAACAATTCATCAAATTATAAGAAAATGTAATTCAGAGTAAGAAAGAGATTTTCTTTGTCTTTAAACAAATGGATATTGCTTTTTTGATATTGTTATAAATAACTTGTTATAACTAACTTTGTCTTTAGACAAAGTTAGTCATCAAACTTTAAACAAATGGATATTGCTTTTTTGATATTGTTGTTAAGTGAATATTAATGTTAATAGACAAATGTCTCAGTTTTGCAGTTTAGGTTTATTGCAAATAACAGGTTCAATGCCATCTGAAAATTGCATTGAATTATTAGAAAAAAATCACAATTTATACAATAACATGTAGATTTAATGACCTTTATTGTAATGTAATGACCTGATTTAATGACCAATCCTGCAAAAATGAAAAAAGTTGTAAGAGGCTGGCTGCTAATAAACAGTTATGTTTTGCCCACAGCAAAATTAATTATTGCACAACTTATAGTAATTGATGTTTTTTATAAAAAGATGATATTTATAACAAAGAAGCAAGAATTTGAAGACAAGTTTTTAGTCCAACAGTGATTAGTCCAAGGAGGAAGGAATTTAGGAAGGTATAATGGACTACAATGAATTGAGGAAGATATAATGGACTACAATCAGAAAAAAATAAGACCTCAAAGTGAACTAACTAAAGTTTAATATGGAGCCAGTCATTTAAAAGGTACTAAAAATGGTAACAATGTTTAGATGATCACCTACCAAAAACAACATCTTACAAACATATATGAAGGCCTAATTTGAAAAACAACTGTTTTTAATAACAGACTGGGTAGACAAGATCAGGTAAAACAGTTTTCTTTTAATGCTTTATTTATTTTTAAGGTAAAATATTGTAAACAAATAATAAATTATTGATATTTACCCAGTCCAAAATAATTTTATAGCTGTCATATGATGAAGTAGTAATATTATCATACAACATTATTACAACACATTATGTTGCCAGGATTCCTTTGAAAAAAGTTATGCAGTTTTGTTAGAACTTTGAGTTTTTTTGTTTTTTTATGTGTTTCGTTTTATATTATGTGTTTTTGTTTTTTTATGTGTTTCGTTTTATATTATTTGTTTTTGTTTTTTTATGTGTTTCGTTTTATATTATGTGTTTTTTGTTTTCTTATGTGTGTCATTTTATATTATGTGTTTTTTGTTTTCTTATGTGTTTCGTTTTATATTATGTGTTTTTTGTTTTTTTATGTGTTTTGTTTTATATTATGTGTTTTTTGTTTTCTTATGTGTTTCGTTTTATATTATGTGTTTTTTGTTTTTTTATGTGTTTCGTTTTATATTATGTGTTTTTTGGTTTTATGCTAAATGAAGTTTATATTATACTCATGTCACAAGAATTTTGAAAACTGCAACTGTTTTCTTGTTTTTTGTTTTATGGTATTATTCTGTTTTGAGTCATGATTATCTGCTATTCTGTCAGTCATGATTACCTGTAATCCAGTATCAGTCATGATTATCTGCTATTCTGTCAGTCATGATTACCTGTAATCCAGTATCAGTCATGATTGTCTGCTATTCTGTCAGTCATGATTACCTGTAATCCAGTATCAGTCATGATTATCTGCTAATCTGCCTTATATGAAATTAGAACCCAAAAAAAAATTTTTTTGTAAACAAATTAAGTAAATTTCTCAAAATATAACAGACTTATTAAAGATAGTTCATGCTGTTAAATTTTAAATAGAATCTTTTAATTTTTTATGCATTTTAACCTAAAATATTAGAAAGCATATTCAAAGTATTACCAATTTTTTGTATTCAATAAAATGATAATAAACCTAAAGCATTAGCTTAGAAAGCAGCAGAATACCCATATATTAAAAATGTGTGGTCAATATTTGGTCAAGTTACCTTATATGTTAAAAGTTTTTAGATAAAAGTTTTTTTTATTTATCAGCTTTTTTTTTTTTATTTTAACAAAAATGTATGAAGAAATAAAAAAGAAACATGCTATATGATCCTATGGCAATCAACAATAATTTATTATGTTTTGACAGTTTCAAAACGGTTGCTATTGTTGTGAATTTTAACTTTGCATCAATAAACCATTTTGCACAATGGCTCTATTTTAACTTCATTGACCTTATCGACCCAAATTCTGTTTCAGTATTGGTTTCTGCCAAAATTTCAATTTAAACTGAAATTTCAGTTCAGGTACTTTTTATAATAAGTTTTTATCAGTTAAGAAAATTTTGGTTGAAAAACTGAAAGTCAAAAATTTTGTATGATTTTAAATTTTTATTTCATTTAAAAAAATAGTTATTTTTGACAATTTCCACAAAATATTTTACCATTTCTAAATTAAATTTTAAGCCCCTCGTTGACAAATTACTTAGCTTAAGTAAATTGCATGTATTAAATAACTTAAGTAAATTGTCATCATAACATTTGTATTATTATAGATAATATTATTATTTTTAATTATTATTGTTATAATTATTTGGTGTCACTCCTTTGATCAGGCTTCTGTTTGAGTGACACCTTCCTTTTCAAATAATTATTTATATTTATTCTTATTAGTTATATTTTATTATAATTATATTGTCTGTATTATTATAGATAATATTATTATTGTTATTATATGGTTATATGTAAATTTTGAAAAGGAAAATAAATATCTTGTCTTGTCTATCTGTTTCTTAAAAATATCAAAACTGCAAATGATCAAACTTTTGCAGTGTGCATAAAATTTGAATCTTGCACTGATAATGGTTTGTTTAAAGAAAACAAGTTTAGTTTGTATAATTTAAATTAAAAGTGAACAAGGCTAACATTTTTTGGATGATGTGGATTTTTCTATGAGTAATTTTATTTTTCTTATTATTTATTTATGACTATTAATTTATTATTATATAAAAAAGAAGTTTTGAAGTTGTCAAAAATAAAAACATCAAATGTAAAAAACAACAAATGTAAATTAATGACAAATGTAAAATTGCATTCTTAGATAACATTTTTTAATGAAATTAATTTTGTGCAAGCCAAAGTTTTGGCTTTAATTTCTGAAAAAAGTTTGCCAAAACATCGGTTTCGGTAATGAAATGTTGGTTTATGCGTATTTCCTGTTTCACTCGATCACTAAAAAATATTAGAAATACAAATTTTAATTGCTGTTTAAACTCCCTTTCACTAACATATTTTACCCTTACAGCATTAACATTTAATACCTTCTTACATTTTCATAACTTTTCTTGCGTTCCCTGGGTGTTTCTGCAGAATTTACCAATTCAATATCACTCAATTTATTTGTTGGTTGTTTTACATAAAATATTGTTTTATAATAAGGAAAGTCATTTCAAAATTGTTTTTATCCTTTTTATAAAACTTGGCGATACATATAATGTCAAACTATCAAAATCAAACATTCTTATACATATAAATTCTTGCATTTACATAGTGTTTCATACCCAGAAAGGAATGGCTTTTTTTTTTTAATTTTATTTCATTTTTTAATAAATTAAGTTTAGTTTAAATTTTTATCTATGTGCAGCCTTCAAAATTTCACTTTGCAATTATTAAGGTTTTTGCAAATGAGAAATTGATTCAGGGCAAATAATCATTTTGATTATAGTTCTTGGCAATATTTTGTAAATAAAACAAACTGAATTTCGAAGACTGTATATATCTATAAAGTATAATAACTTTAATCGTAGCTTCTTATTTCACCTTCATAGAAATACTCAATGCCAGAAAAACGATTCTCTTCTTTCTCCACTATCACCACCTCCATCATCATCATCCGTACAGTTTCAGGATCCAGAATTGCAAGGTGATAAAATGTTTAATAGAAATTTCGAGGTTTCAATAAGTTGTAGTTTTATTTTTACTGATAATTATGTTTATATTTCATTTTACATGATTTTTATTAACAATTTTACTTTTTCTTTATTTTTAATACAACCCATGCATTAATGTCTTTATTATGTTTTCTATATTTAGGAATGGAACTTTATAATCTTTTGCCACATGAAGATAGAGTGAGTATAAAAAAATACATAATTTTTGAGTATTTTTGCATAAGGTCTGACAAAAATATTCACTTAAATGTTTTTCTCAAACCTCATACTAAAATACTCAAAAACATCTTTAAAAAATATTTTAGTTTTTGCAAGTTTTTATGTGCTTGTTTTATTGTTTGTTACACAAGAAATTAAAAATTTATTTCTAGTCAAAAGTTCTATGCGGTTCTATTAGATTTAAATTTCCTAAATCCAACTTTATTGTTATGCTTGTATTACCAAATTATTAGAAATAGTTTAACCAGGGCTGTGGAGTCGGAGTTGCGGAGTTGCGACAATTTTAGCGGAGTCGGAGTCGCTGAAAAAATATCACGACTCTGATAGTAATATTTCTTGGTATTGCACGTGTATGTACAAAACATTCAATTAACCTTATGTTCATACTAAACTTCAAAGAGCATTGCATAAAGTTGTCAAAAAAATTTCAACTTATCGCACCATATTTTTTAAAGAACTCAAAGAATTTTTCAAAAATTTTGCTTTGGAGTCGGAGTTGTATTCAAAAAATTTCAACAACTGGAGTCGGAGTCGTTACTTTTTTTTTACGACTCCACACCCCTGAGTATAACAAAAAAAAATTTTTTAATCTGTAATACTAGTATGCTTTCTTTAATACAGTATGATCCCTAGCATCAATTTTGTTTATGTGATATATAATTAGGTGAATCTCCAAAGCAGCGATAAAGGGAATTAACCTAGAAGAAAAATATATATAAACCCCAATTGTGGGTAGTGTTAAAAGAAGCTTTTAAAACTTGTAAGATTCCTTATAGTATTGCAATAGTTTTCAATACTGATCTGCAGATTTATATCAGAAAAAGCATTTGGTTGTAAAAACTCTACCATAATCTCATATTTAAATTGGAAAATTATTGAAATCTGTTCGAAGCTTACAAGTGTAAACCATGGGTGTTAACAACACACAAGTGTGACTATGGGTGTTAAGTTTTAAAAGAATACTTTAATTATTTTCTATAGTTTTTAAAAAGTGTTTTCTGCTATACTCTTTTAAGTAAAGCAGTCATTGCTACAGTTTCTCCTTTTTTTTTAGATTGCAGCTGCTATGTATCTTGATCAAGTTGGTATTCTCGGCCAACTGACAAGTAATTCATCAAGAAATGTAACATCATCAACTAGTGTTATTGATATTAGTGACGAATAATGCTTTCATAAAAAGATATGTAGAAGCCATTTATTTAAGGACATTTATAGAATATATTGGTTTATGTTGAGAAACTTGAGTTTTATTATGATGTAATATGAAAAAGATTTTTATCTTTTTTATTTGGTTTATATTTTGCTTACTTGTAAAAAACTTCGAAATACGTTTTCATAAACGTTTACGGAGTTTATAAGAGCACAAATGTTTATAGGTTTTTGTACATATATTAAACTGATGTATAAATTGATTGTATATCATCTGATTAAAAATATGATTTTTAAATGAATTTTTTTATTCATATAAAGTTATGAAAAAAGTTTTTTTTTTAATTTTAATTAGTGAATTTGTAAGTATTGAATAATTTGAAAATCAACTTCATTTAAAATCTTTTAAAAAATCTCTTCTCATTGATCTGGCATTTGCCATACCATTTATAAAAAAAGTTGTTTTTAAGTCTTTGCTTGATTATACACTTAATGGAGAAGTATTTATAGATAAATTTAAATAGTCATTATTTTAAAGAAAAGTGTAAAAATATAAAGGAAATAATAATTAGTTGAGCTTAATAACATAATAAAACTATATATAGTTAAAAATAGTTTTATTGTTTTTTACATTTATAAAACAAGAATTTGTTAATATTGTTTTTATTTAGCTTTTAAGAAAATTTACAATGATTTTTTGATAATTTGCATTGAAATAATATTTATTTTTCTGCAGATTCAAATCTTTTAAATTTAGTAGAAAATGCAAAGGAGTGTTGCTACATCGAGTAAGGGTTTGGGTTGGGGCAGCAATTGTTTTTTTTTTTTTTTTTTTTTTTTCATTATTCTTTTTTTCTTTTTCTTTTTTTTTTTTCTTTTCCCAAAAAAATCCCTATCAATTTTAGTCAGCATAACAAATATATATCTATATACACTATATGAGATGTATCTCTATGTGAGATTTACATTTATCTATGTGGCACTTTTTGGTCATTTCGATGTTTTATGTACCTTTGTATCAATTTTTTTTTTATTTGCCAACCTCTAAAAGATTGAGGTTGGGAAATTATTGCTGACCTCATTATTTTCCTAATCCAAGGGTTGTGTATTTAAAGCATTACATTTTAGTAATGTGTATTTAAACTATATACAAACAACACAATAGTATGTGTATAGTAAACAATTCATTAGTATGTGTATTTAAACTAAATTAGTAAATATTGTATTTACTAATGTATTTGCAAGTAATTAATGTAATTAAATTTCAATTTTTGTGTTTATTTTTTATTTATTTTTTTTTTCTGTTTATATGCTTCATTTAGTTTTAGAAAGATAAATTTTAAGCAGGCTTAAACATTGAATATGGCTGACAGAGAATCTGGCATTGTTTGGAAAAGATCAAGTATACCTCTTGTAAGTTTAATATATTTTAAGCATTTTATTTCTGTAATTTTTTTTTTTTTTCTAATTTAAAATTTAAAAATTATTAACAACACAACCTAAAACAAATCTAAAAGGTAGATATGCATAGATATATGCTGATAAGGGGGTTAAATAAGTATTAAGATTATGTACAATGCTTCATATAAAAAGCATATTACTTTCAAAATTCATATTTGTCCAGCTTGTCAGTTAATCAATTTTGCATTTGAATTTGGATTTATTATTTTACATATGACTTTGGCAATTATAAAATACCATCATGACATTGTGCAATATAAAATTATCAATTTGCAATATATGCACAACTTCTTATGTATGGAGTGTTTATGTTTATTTCAAGGCCTAACTATGGATATTTGATCTCATTAAAGTACATTTGTTGCTTTAAGGTCTCCATGTATTTATTAATCGAGAAAATAAGCTTTACACCAATTTTTAGAAGCCATTTTGTTGTCGAGAAATTTAAATCATTTACATTTTTGCTTAAATAAGCCAAAGGGTTATAGCTATGAAAACAATATCTTCTTGGTTGATATTTACCAAGGTTCTCATCTGTTAAAAAAAAATCAGATTTTATGGCAGAGGAGCACTGTAACTAAAAAGCTGAAATTTGTTTAAAATGTGCTTGTTACCATTAACAGTTGAATATTTAAATCTTTTAAATTTAAACCTTATTGTTTTATTGACTGTTATTGACAAGTAATTTCCTATAATGTTCTTACAATTATAGTTTTCATGTGTAAGGTGTATTTCCTGTTATGTTTAGTGTGGAGATGATGAAGATGTTTGGGATGATACCGTTTTGATAAAAGCTTACGACAGAGCTGTTGCAAGAATAAGGGTTACTTGATTTTTTATAAAAAGTAGATTCTATCTCAATTTATTTTACTATCAATCAATTAATTGTTCTTTATTTCAATTTTTTTTTTTGCTTACATTATATTCTTATATTTATATTTTAGAATGATAGCGACATTCAACCTGTTCAGTCTCGGTAAATGGTTAATTTTAGTGATTTCACTTCTTTTTGATTATTTTTAGTGGTTTCAAACATTTGTGTTGAGAATTTCGGTTGAAAACAAATATTATTTTTAGATCTAAAAGAAAGAGAAAAAATAGAAGTCTGAATAGAAGAAAAAAAATGGTATTTTTTTTTTCATAAAAAATTTTGTATTCCCCTTCTTATTTTTTTTTTACTTTTTTCTCTTTCATCTAGTGAAGTTTTATTTTCATTATTTCAATAAAAAATTTTAATGGCATAATTGCAAAAGTTTAATTAAAGAAAGATAAAATATTTTCAGTATTATGTTATTTATAATAAGAACATTAAGTTATAGCATAACTGTAAAATAATTTGTTTATAATTAAAATCTATTACATTTTATGAAAATTGCAATTGAAAGAAATAAAAATTGTGACTATTAGAATATAATTTTTTTAATTCTGAAATTTATTTGCTAAAGTCCTTGCATTTTATAAATAATTTCATATCACATTATATATAGAGAAGAGTGGTACTGAATAAATCACAAAATTAGATATGCTTAACACTATATAAACATAAATAATTATGACTGATATATTATTTCTATTGGCAAATCTGATATTCTTGTATACTGTAAGCTTGCAAATTGATTGAGCAAATATAACATTGTTTAAAAATGCAATAAGTAAGTTAAATTGTTCACCTACGTTAAATTGTTCAACGGTCCATTCAGTACAGTTGCTGCACTAAACAAAGTGACCTTGTACTAAATGGACTAGCCATAAGTTTATTTTATATAATGAATAAAAAGTTGACTTATGCATAGCAACATTGAAGTATTGTTAACCTTGAGAAAAATTATCTACAAAATATGAAAATTATGATTTGATCTTTACAAGCTTACCTTGAACACATTTTGAATTTAGCCTTGAGTTTTTTTACTTCTTACCAAAACAATTTTTGACATTTATGTCAAAAAATGTCTTGGTAAGAACTAAATATATAAAAAAAAGAGTTTTTTGCTTTTAAATCCATCATAAAGGATGTAAAGTAATCATATCATTTCATTCTTTCATCATAAAGGTAATAAATCAAAGTAAACAAGTTTAAAATAAAAATAAAAGTATAAAAATAAAAAAAGACTATAAACATAAAGTTGAAATATTTCAGTCAAGTTTCAAGTCAAATAATACCAAAAATTAGTTTGCATTATCTGCATTTATGCTTGCTTTATGTGTCTACCTGGCACACTGTCTGCAAAGGTGTCAGAATTTTTTTGTCTTGACAACATATTTCACACAAGTCATTATTTAATTCAACTTTTCCACCAGTATTTAAACGATTTTCAACACCATTTTCACTTCTTTTGACATTAACATAAACAATGCTAGCCTCGTTAACATCAACAGTGTTAACCTTGTTAACATCAACACTGTTAGCCTCTTTGACATCAACAGTGCTAGCCTCGTTATTATATATTAGTGATGGAAACATAAGGTATTTTGAATTTTAGATTTTTTCTTAGTTTCCTGTGTTTATTTTAATTATCTGTTATTTTTGGATAGGTTTTTTGTTTCTTTAATTTTTACTAAAATTTTCGATATTGTCTCAGTAACTGGAGACTTTTCAGTTAGAATGATAGAATAGCCCTTCTTGGATTTTTCATAAATAAACAGTAGAATAAAGGTATATATTTTTGCAGTAGGATAAGGATGTATATTTCCTACTTTCAGGGAAATGCTTGCAGTTTTGTTAACTTCATAACATCTTTTTCTTTCTAATAAACTAGGATACTTTAGAATTTTTTGTCATTGTTTTAATGTTAAAACAATGACAAAAAATAAATAATGGTGTCACTGTTTTAAAAAGATATTGTTAAAACAGTGACACCATTCTCTAAAGCTATATATAGTATATGCTGAGTATGTGCTGAAAAACAAAGATGTTAACTGGTTTTGATGCTTTGCCCAACTCTTTCCAAAAATTTCTGCTATGTCATAGATTAAGTCATATTAAAAAGTTGATTTTTATAGAAAAAAATCTTTAAAATGAATACATGGCAATGTACAAAATGGTGTTGACATTGATCTTGCATTTACTTCAATATTTTTACCAAGATACCTCATTTGGCACTTAAAAGAGGACCAGTTTGACACTCTTCCCTTTTAGTTAAAGTATGCTCAGACCTTGGAACAGTAGTGATTCTAGTCTCATCAACATTCTATACAGAGCAAACTTGTATTTGGTTAAAAAACAGCACAGGTTATTTTCAAATAAATTCATATTATGTTTACAAAATGTTGACATATGACTAATGATTACTTTCTCTATTTTTTTTATAAAAAGTTTCAGATGATGGTTAAAAAAAGTTCTAAATCAACACCAGCATGTTTATATCATATCTCATTATTCTCAATGTATATCTTATTAAACTTTATCTCATTGAAGAAACTAAGCTATGTAAAACCAGCCCTTTTTCTTTCGACAAATAACACTTTCATAGATTAAGAGTTCATAGATTGACTCATTCTAAATTGAGATGTATATAGATTGAATCTATAGATTCAATCTATATACATCTCAATTTGTAGATTGAATCTATATACATCTCAATCGATTAAAAACATAGATTAAAACTTACATTGATTGATACTAAGCTTGAAATTAAAACCAGTTCTTTCTTTTTTTTGATACGTTAAAACACATAGACTGCAGTAGCATTACATTTCTATTTATTTGATTCTTTAATTCTTTCAAAATTTGTTTTTTTAAAAGTTGAATGTTGGACTAAATATATAAAAAGTTTTATTTTGAAAAATCGAAAAACTTTGATAACATTTACAGCTTTACTTTAAATAAAGTAAATATATTAGTAAACAAAACCTGGACATAGCAAAGAGGTGTAAAAGTGAATTATTTGCAATGACTGAAATGCATTTAACTGGTTTTTTTAAATTATTATGTTATGCTCTAATTCTTTTTTTTTAAAAGGTCTGTTAAGTATTGGGTCCATTTAAAACACTCCTATACTTCTAATGTATAATTTAATGTTTTAAACCTCATTTTAATAAACCAATATTAGGAGGGTAAGTTTTTTTCCCTTTATAAGACTTGGAAGGTTGGTTCAAAGTGTCTCTCCCCCTACTCTGGTGATGGGCTTTACTATGAAGCAACAATTTTGTCTATTGATATTGAGGCTTATCTTGCTGATGTTCAATATGATCACTATGGCAACACAGAAAAAGTGGACATGTCTCAGTTACTTAGTATTGAGCACAATGGAAAAAAATCCGAAATGAACTGTGAAAACAAAGATTTGGAAGTGAAAACAAAGATGGCTGCTGAAGAGATGTTAAAACAATCTAATCAAAAAAATTTGGTAATTTTTAATTTTAGTATTTTTTAGTATTTTTTTAATGTCAAAATATTTATAAAGCAAAAGTTTTACTTATATATTTATAGTTATTTCTACTTTATTTTTATAATCATATTATTTTATGTTATACGTTTTGTTTTGAAAGAGAAAACAATGGAAAGTGTCTGACATATGCTTTGTTTCTGTTAAAAATGAAGAAACTATTTTCAAGCAGGCTGTCATTAATGAGTTTATCACTTCATCAATATGTAAAGTTACTTATACATTTGATCATAAAACGTAAGTAATAGGATTTATTGTATTTTTATACTTTATGTGAAAATGTTTAGTGAAATATTTTTGCATCATCATCTTCTAAAGTTCTTTTTAACAAATTAGGCTTGCAGAACCAGAACTCATATAGTCTTTCAAAAAAAAAAATGTTATATAATTGTCTTTAAAATTTTTTTTATAAAGCAAAAGTTTGTTTTTGAAAAATTTGAACTACAAACAAATATATTAATAAAAACTATTAAAATATCAAAAAGTGATTGTTGTTGTTGTTGTTATTTTTTTCTTTCAAAACATTGTTCTATTGGTTATATGCAATTTTTACTTTGGTTTTTACAGAGCGGAAGTTCCAATAACTTCTTTATTCACAGCTTCAAAAGTGCAGCGCATGTATAGAGGTTTATTAGTTACAGTAGTTAATGGGTTTAGTTTATATTTTGTATTTTATTTATTGTTTAAAATTGGTTTTATTTAGCATCACACTCTAATGTTGGAGCTGATAAAAAAAAAGAAGTTCGTCCAGGGAATTATCTGTACAATAACAGACCTGTGCTTCCATCAGATATTTTAGAATTTTCTGAAGTACCCAAGGGATTTGATGTAAGCTATAGTTTTTTGAAAATTTACAACTTTTACAAATTTACTTTATAAGATTAAAAAAATGAAATATAAATTAAAAAAAAAACAAGTGGTAGTTAATAGTAACTAAATAATAGTTTGTAACAATGTTTCTTACCCGGGTATTACATTAACTGTTACTTGGGTAATCTACAAATCTTTTCTTACCCGTTACTCGGGTAATTTTGAAAAATTACTCAATAACTTTGAAAATTTATAAGGTAATTTCAGGTAATTTTAAATTTTATAACTAATTTCAGGTAATTTTAAAGTTAAAGTTTTTCAAAAGTTATTTTCATAAAAAAACAATTTGGGCTGTAACCAACTTTGTGAAGACATTTAACTGTATAAATAAGTTTTATAATATAAACACACCTTTATTGAAATTGTTGAGGTTTCCAGCTTAGTCCATAGCTCTTACATAAGTACTAATACAATGTAATTAAAATTGAGATTTTTATCGTGTAAAAGATTTATAGTGAGTTTAGTAGTTTAAAGTTTAAATTTAATTTATTTGTTATTAACATTATTGTCAAAGTTAAACAGATTTTTTAATAAGAATGTTGTTTATAAGAAACTAGTACTAAATGATAACAGTATATATATATTGGGTTGTAACATAAGTTCGTAGAGTTTTTTCATAAAGATTTATTTGAACAAAAAACAATAATTATAATAATAAATAATCAGTGATATATTCTCCGTTACTGTTTACGACCTTCTTCCATCTCTCGACCAATTCGTTGATGCCGTTTCGCCAAAAATAGGTCGGTCTGGTGTCGAAGAAGTTGTTGAGCCAGTTTTTAAGATCCTCTACGCCATCAAAGGTAACACCCCTCATTTGGTTTGATAGAGAGCGGAAAAGGTGATAGTCGGTAGGTGCAAGATCTGGAGAGTACAATGGATGCTGAAGAACCTCCCATTCAAGCTCTTGGAGTGCTGTTTTGACAACTTGGGCAATATATGGCCTCGCATTGTCGTGGAGCAAGATGACTTGACCTTGCCTTTTGAGTTTTTTCAGCCGAATAGCCTCATTTACACGGTTCAGCTGGGCAATGTAGACCTTCTTGTTGACAGTGGCGTTTTGTTCGAGCATTTCCCAGTGCACCATGTCTTCCCAGTCCCACCAAACGCAGATCATGGCCTTTTTTGGGTGAAGATCTTGCTTGACTCTCGGCTTCGGCGTCTCTCCTGGGGCCACCCACTCCTTTCTTTGCTTCACATTGACGTACAGCAACCATTTCTCATCTCCCGTGATGATTTGATACAAAAAGCGCTGTGTTGTGCCCATGTGTTGCTCGGTGGCAGGCGAGATGTTGAGCAGCAATTTGAAGGCGTTTTTCTTTGTTTTCTTTGTTGAGCTCGTGAGGTACCCATGCTCTGAGTTTTTGAGTAAAACCAATTGATTGAAGGTGGCGAGAGATTGTCATTGCACTGATCTTCATTTTTTCAGCCAATTCACGAGTTGTTTGGCGACCATCTTCCTTCAATAGCGCCTTCAGGTGCTCTTAGTCGAATTCTGCAGGTCGTCCACTTCAAGACGTGTCTTCAAGGTCAAAGTCACCATTTTTAAACTTTGCGAACCATTTTTGTGCAGTAGACACACCTAAGACACCTTCCCCGTACACACTGCATATGTCCCGTGCGGCTTCGGCTGCTTTTTGACCTGGATGAAAAGCAAAGAAAAGCAGATGTCGAAAGTGCTCATTTTTTCCTCCTGGATATTCCATTTCTAAGCCAGAAAAAAGACGAACAATTGAATTATCCAAAAAAACAAATAAAACCGTTTTGTAGACGAGAAAGAGCTCTTTCGAATGAATGTATATACTTTGCTAAAAAACAAAACAAATCGTTGTAAAATAACTCTAATCCTGGGTATTCCATTTCTAAGCCAGAAAAAAGACAAACAATTAAATTATCCAAAAAAACAAATAAAACCGTTTTGTAGACGAGAAAGAGCTCTTTCGAATGAATGTATACACTTTGCTAAAAAACAAAACAAATCATTGTAAAATAACTCCAACGCAAAGCTCTACGAACTTATGTTACAACCCTATATATATATATATATATATATATATATATATATATATGTATATATATATATATATATATATATATATATATATATATATATATATATATATATATATATATATATATATATATATATATATATATATATATATATATATATATATATATATATATATATATATATATATATATATATATATATATATATAGCGTGGAAAATAATGGCCAGTCAATGGTCAATGAGCACCTGAAATGACTAAAAATGATATTTTGAGCTCCCAAAATGAAAACTTGCCTGTCATGGTTGACCAGTTGAAAAAATATCAGAGTTTTGAAAAACAAGGTTTGACAATTAATCAGGATTTTATGCAGAAAATGCATATACTAAAATTTCATAAAATTATTTAAATTTTGAAAAAACGTTAAAAATAGTTTTCTTGTTTTTTTAAATGAATGAAGTTCTTATTTTTATTATTATTTCATTAAAAAATTTTTATACATTATTTTAATAATATAATAATATAATAATTTAATAATATTTAATTTTGAACATTTTTACTTTTATCTGCACTTAGTCAATTTGTTTTATTTTTCTCTAAATTTTTTTTATCTATTTTTTTGTCAGTTTTTTTGCAAATTGCAAATAAATAAATATAGTTAAAATAAAATGATTTGTAGATAAATTAAAAATTACTAATTGCGCATTTCCAATTATTTTTTTTTTATAATTGAGTTTTAAAAAAATGTATATATATAGTAAAAATCTTGTTTTATGTAACATTAGTAATTTTTATAGCAGTGTTTCAAACAATCGTCTTCTTAGTATTAAATATTCAGCTAGTTTTTTTTCTTTAACTTTAGAGATTGAAGTTCTTATTTCATTATTATTCTAAATTATTATATATGATTAAGAGTATAATCTCAACTTCTTCTTTTTTTTCCATTCAATCTTTTTAATTTTTTTTCTTGAACCTTTTGCCACCATTAATGAAGTCATTATAATGTAATGAATTATTTTTAAATAAAATAAAAATTATCAATTACCCATTTGCACTTTTAAAAAAACATTTGATTTGATTGAAAATTGTTATTGTTAAAATAATAGTAACTCATTAATTTTTGTATACATAAAGTTGAAAACTATTACTAAGAAAAAAATTTAAACAAAAAAAATAAAAGTTTTGACTGCCCAAAAAAAAAAATTGACCGTCATTTCCTTGTGTTGGCCAGTCCAATTGACTGCTTGCCTTTGATATCTTATTTTCTACAGTGTGTGTGTGTATATCTTATTTTCTACAGTGTGTGTGTGTGTGTAAACTGTTAGTACCAATTCACCTACATATCACATTAAAATGTCAGTTAAAACCAAGCATTATCTGCAATAGAGAATAACAGTTGAAATAAGTATTTAATTTGAATGTTCAATCAAATGGATTTCTGTTCAAAATTTCTTTAGAAAAATTTTTTTTTTAAATTGATTGAACTTAAACATCCCTAAAAACTCATAATATTTAACTTAATAACAATAATAACAATAATAACAATAATAATAATAGTAATAATAATAAAAACAATAAACTATTTATGGCAAAATATGGTAAAACTATCACCATGGTTAAGCAAGACATTCAAAAGATTCAAGAAGAAGAATGCAGTTTTTCTACTAGCTTTGACGAATCCAATTCATCAGAAACCGTCGTTTTATGAATCTGAACTTACATGGTTTAGGATTTTGTAAAAAGTTTAGGATTATATTTTTGTAATATATTTGTTTTACAAAACTCATACAAAAATTAAGCAAAGTTAAAAAAATATTAAAAACAACTCAGGTAAAATCAAAATTAAGAGGATTATTAGGAAAAATATATTCCAGATTTTTTCTGGATATTTTACCTTACTGATTTTTCGGATTTTTAAAATATAACCTGGATGATCTATGTTATTAAAATGCTAGGAAGATTTTATGAAGTTTGCAACGTAGTTAAAGTAGGAACTATCCATCTTGAACAAGAATTTTATGTTTTCCAATAAAGAATTGAAAAAGATTAAAGAACTATGTTATGCTCTTGCTCCCATTGAGATGACTGTAAAATATTTCTGCAAGGAAGATGCTGATCTTTTGCTTGCTGAAAAAGTTGCTGAATTTGCTGCTAAAAAGCTGATTGATCAAGGGACATCATCCGTGATCAATTTAAAGTTCAATCAATTTAAAATTCAAGAGAGAAGAATAAGGAGAACAACCCCGATCTTGTACACTTAATACAATATTTAAAATTTCTGGATATTTTGGAAGAGCAAAAGGATCAGTTCGGTGTAAAAATAAAAAATTGTAAAATAATATCTCTGGCTACTTTACTTTTAAACGCAGAAGCAGGTGAAGCTACCAGTTCATTTTGACTGGTAGAGCTGATGAAACATTAAAAATAGACGGAAAAAAAATCCCTTGATCAGTGATAGCTTCATGCTCTGTACCGTGATCGCATGAAGCGATCACGGTACAGAGCATGAAGCTATCATGGTAGATAAGATTGGATCTAAGATTTTGAAAAAATAGATAAGTTTATTCAAAGCTACTTGTGCAAGGCCTAAAAACCTTGAAAAACCTTTCAAAGCTTTATTAACTATTAAAGTAACATTATTAGAGTCAGAACAAGCTTTTTTCATCCATTGGATTTTTTGCCACAAAAATAAGAAATAGATGAGGAGACGATGCCCTTGATGCATTGATTTTAATGCGTCAGTTCTTCAAAAAACTTAAAAAAAATAAAAATGTAGTTTAAAGAAAAAAGTTATAAAACTTCTTAAAATTAGCCTTTAAAAAACTTGTTTTTTTTTTAATCAAAATTGACCAAGTTTACACCCAATAGGTTACCAACCTGAAAGTGTTTGAGGTCGGCAAAAAGTTGCTGACCTCATTTCTATGTTTTATGGTCAGACCTTTGTATCAAATAATTTTTGCCAACCTGATGCCAACCTCAAAAAAATTGAGGTCACCAATAATTTGTTGACCCCATTTTCCCCAATTCTGAGGGTTATAGCTGTTGTAACCTCTAATTGATAAAAATTATCCAGATAATACCAGGGTAATACTCAGTAAATTTAAAATTACCTATTACCCCGGCTAAATATTCTGGCCGGGCAATGGGAACACTAGTTTGTAACAAGTGGTAACAACAGTAAACATTGCTCCAATAACAATAACAAGAAAGTTTGTTTAGAAAATTTGATTTATGATCTTGTGTAAGTGAAACAAAAGCTTGGGCAGCGGCAGTGGATTCAATTCTGTTTTTAAAGTTTATTTTTTTTAGCGATACCTTGGGCTTCTGAATTAAATCCATTTTCTAAATTTATTTTATCTTTTTTCCAAGATTATTATTATTTTTGATTTAATTTTTGCACATGTGTATAATAATTTATGTGTAAAAAATCATATATATATATATATATATATATATATATATATATATATATATATATATATATATATATATATATATATATATATATATATATATATATATATATATATATATAGTTTGACATATAAACTTACCGTTTGTGGTAAAAACAATCTACAGCTGTGGTAAAAACCAGCTCTTAACAACTCTTTGTGTTCAAAGAAGATAAAATTAAGTACACTTTATGTCAAAATCATTGAATTTAATTGAGGAAACTAAATAAATTTATAGTTTTTTAAAAAACAAAAGTGCAAAGTTAATAGGCAGGAATGTTTTTAAAAACATTCAAAATGTTTTTATTTTTTTTTTAAGTAAAAACATTTAGAATGTTTTTATTATAATTTTTTTTACTGTATACATACATCGACTGACAAATAGGTAAAAACATGTGACAAGAATTGCTACATCGACTGACAAATAGGTAAAACATGTTATAAGAGTTGCTATATCAACTGACAATTAGGTAGAATATGCAAGGAGCGCTGATACACTGACGGACCAATAAGTAGAACATGCAAGGAGTGCTGTTACATCTACTGAGAGTTTTAGTTTTTAGGCAGGCAATCTATTTACAAAAAAATTTTTTAAAGTTTTCAAATATTTTCCAGTCTTCTAAAGTAATTTTTTTGTATAAATTCAGATTTATTTATCGTTAATTGTACTTTTATTTCACTTTTTTTTTTGTAGCCGCCAATGTTTCCTCCTTTTCTCCCACAAATACATACTTCAAATAAAGGTTCATTTTTACGAGTAAGTTTTTTTATTCAGTTGCTATTAAGCAAGGGGCGAATTATGGGATTGTGAATTTAAAATTCTGTAAAAAATTTTGGTCTTAAAATTTTATGTTTCTTGTAAAACTGTTACGAATGGTCTGAAAAAACGCACAAAAATGGTTTTCAAAAAAAAAATTGAAGAAACCAGAAACTTTACAGAATTTTCAATTTGCAATCATTTAATTCGCCCCTTGTTAAGTTCTTTTAAGTTTATTTTCTTATAAAAAGTCAATTGGATTTAAAGAGTGTTCTAAGTGACATTAAAAAAGCATATTTGTAGAAAATTTAAATGTGTAGGTTTATTGAAGGTCTTCTACAAGTTTTAGAACCATGTGTCAACTGTCTTATGATAATTTTCTTAGAGTCTAATTCGAAGGCTAATTTGAATAGATTATTTTTTCTGACCTGTTTTATGTATTATTCAAAAATTAAGTATCAAATTCTGATTAAACTTGTTCTATATAAAGTGCTCCCTCTGTTCCGAAATACTGTTCTGATTTGCATTTAACACAAAGAGTTATCGGGGGAAAAAATGTTTTTAATTAAACACATTTTTTATATAAAATATAGATGTTTTTCTATGTTATAAACAATTTATTCCAATAATGTTATATAATACCATCACACCATTAGTTTTTAAAAAGGACGTGTTTTTTTTTATGAAATATTTTGTTCCAAAATACTGTTTCAATTTATTAAAATTTGTAACAGTCAAAATAGGAAGTATCGTATTGAATTTATACTTTCTCACTTACAATTTTTTCGCAAATAATACAATTCAGTTTGTATAAACGTTCAACACGACCTATGTAGATGAAAAATTGTTCTATTTGGCAAAAGAATCAGGATGGTACTACTTGAAGATTGATGAACCTGAACCCCATCAACATGTAAAATCAAAGAATTTTATCATAAAAATTATGTTCCTGGCCACCGTTGTAAGACCAAGATTTGAACAACATCCAAATGAATGGTTTGATGGAAAAATTTGGCCATTTGTAAAGCGAGAGCCTGCGAAGAGAAACAGTAAGAATTGAAGTAAGGGAATACTAGTTACAACTCCAATTGTTGTAGATAAATTTTCGCAACATGCTTTTAAATGTTTTACCAGCCATACATTCAAAATGGCAGGGAAATCATATTGAAAGGAGTCAAACTATTTTTATACAACAGGACAATGCAAAACCGCATATAACCATTAATGATTCAGAATTTATGGTAAACGCATCTCAGGATGAGTTTGATATTTGTTTAATTTGTCAGCTATCAAACAGTCCAGATATGAATATCCTAGATGTAGGATGTTTTAAGGGCGTGACATTTTAGGAAAGAGGACAGCAAATCACCAAAAAAAAAACTAAATTGATAAATAATGTACTACAAAAAACCTTCTTAGCTAAAAAAAAGAAAAATATATTTAAAAAAAAGTCTGGAGGAGGGGAAACATGGCCCTCTCATTGCCCCACCCCCTACTCTCATTGCCCCACCCCCTTTACTTCTCCCATCTTCCATCACCATGACCCATAATACAAGTTTTCAAATAATTTTATATTTTCTCAAAAAATTCATTTTATTAAAAATATTTGATTTTTTTCTCATCAAAATTAGTAATAAAAGCGGAATAGTATTTTGGAACAAAAAAAAAAGAAATCGGAACAGTATTTCAGAAGGAGTATTGAGTGGAATCAATATGATGTTTATACTTTCAAAAACCGCATTTTTTGAAAAGTAGGTGCAAAATTAAATTCAAATATGTGCAGCTGCATCAATGTTTACGTTCCTGTCACCACCCTCTGTGTCTACGTATCTGTAAAGTCAAAACTTAATAAAGGGCATCCAAGAGCCTTGTCTTTTAGTGAAGAGGAATAGATTGTATCCCCATTAGAAAATGCGTCCGATTTTGGTTGGCCACTAAATTTAAAAGGCATGAAAGCAGTTGTCACGCAATTTTTGAACAGTTGTGAAGGTTTTTCTCTGGGATAGTAATGGGTCAGGTGGCAATTTCTTACTAGGTTTAGAAAAAAGATTTCATGTATGTATAAAACAACTCCAGAAGTTTTAACAATTTTATGAGCCAAATCTTTTTCTGTGAAAAATGTAACAAATTTTTTTGAAATTATTAAAAGAGTTTATGAGAAATATAATTTACATAATAATTCTGACCAATTTTATATCTGGATGAGACCAGATTTTCTACCAGTGAAGGAAATAAACAATTTATTCTAGATGCGGCGTACATTTCACTCCCAACTTAAAAGCTTCTTGTGGCAAAACTATGTTCTCAATATTAATATGTGGAAGAGCTACTGGTTTTCTTATGCCACTTTTTGTAGATTATAATTTAAAAATTGGTTTATCAAGGTAAGTCTGCTAGTAAGATTTTTTCAGCATAAACTTTAGTTTATTATTTTACCCATTTCAACTTTGTAAATAGGTTATTATTATTTTTTTTTTCAATAAATAATTAAAGTCTTTATTCCTTAAAAAAATAGTGGAAAAACATGGAAAAGATGTGTACATAGCACTATTCATGGATGGTTATGGCAGCCATCTTACATATATTCTTGCATCAAAGACAAAGTTTAACAGTTTAAGCAGCTTAATCTTAAATCTAGCAACATTTTCTTAATTTGTTTTATTTAAGCTTTTAGATAACTTTCTGCGATTTTGATTGCACTCATTTGTCTTCACACTTTACAACCTTTAGGTTTCTTCAAACCAATGAAGCAAATTTGGAGAGATATTTTGCACAATATTTTCCAAGAATCTCACCATATTTTGGTTGACGAGGCTATTTTTCCAAATTTACTGAACTTGGCTGAAAGTAAATTTAGAATCTTGTTTTAAAGCCTCAGGTCTATATTAAATCTATCAGATCTATCTCCTCAGGTCTATATCTGTTAGATCCATCAAAAGCTGGAAAAAAGAGCTGGTGATGCCGGAGCATGCAAAAGATAATGACTTGCCTTGTTGTGAACTTTGAGCTGCTATTTTTAAAGTTGTTGTCACCAAATCCTTCTAAAGACACTTTAACAGCTATAAACAATAAAAGATAAGGAATAAAATCAGTGCAAACAGAATGTGGCAGAACTTACTGAAAAAGTTGCCTTAACTTATAGAAAAGAAGAAGCAGTTTTAAAAAATGAAAATAAAAAACTTGCTTAAAAAAAAAAGGCAAGTTTAAAGTATGAAATACCTAAAAAATATCATACAATTTAAATAAAAACGATATTAACAATAACATTTTTTTGCACACATTGACTTTAGTTTGGATTAGCCCCTGCATGAGGCTATTCTGAACAAGGCATATTTTTGTAAATATTCAGGCTCTGCAAATTATTATTTTTTTTTTTAACATCATTGCTTCCAATAAGGCTGGAAGCAACCACTAATTAGTGATGGAAGTTACTGGAAGAGAAAAGATAAAGATTGTAGAGCAAGATAACGGTTGACAGACGACTTAAAATATTGCAAATTATATGAATCAGGAAAGCAAGATGAAGGAAGCGAATTCCAAAGAAATGATGTTTGAGGGAAAAAACTAGACGAATAAGAGTTTTTGGAGCACTTAGGAACAGTAACAGAAAAAGGATGAGACTTAATTGAATGACGAGTAATACGAGAATGAATTTTAGTAGATGGCACAAGAGACGCTAGCTCTTTAGAGCAGTGCCCATTATAGTATTTGTAGAAAAGAGAAAGAGAAGCAACATTACGACGATGTGACAGAGGTTGAAAGTTGGCTGCAATACGTCTTTGTTTTAAAATGCTTGACACAATGCTACCCTACTATTTAGTTGTTTATTGTTTAAAACATTTTGTTTATAACAATAAATGTTTATAACAATTAATGTTTTGAATAAAAAATAGTTTTTTTAATTTTCTTTTTTAAAAACCTTGGCTGGCATATTTTTAAAGAAGTTCTTTTTTTATGTTAGGAAAAAGAAGTTCTTTTTTATATTAGGGATCTGCGTAATAGAAAATTTTGTTAATTTTTGAAATCTAATGTCATTTTATAGATTTATCAAGTATCTAGAGACATTTAAAAAAAAATTGTTGTAGTTACTCTACTCAGGGTATAGCATATAGGTATGTTTATCTTTAGAATGGATCTATACCACTTCCTCCTCCAAATTTGCCGCCTTTTCCTAGTCCTCCTATAGTGCCCAAAGCTGTTCAAGCTGGAGACGAAGAAGCCCTAGCTGGAATGTTGATGTCTTGGTATATGAGTGGTTACCATACAGGATATTACCAGGTAAGCTTTTAATTTTTTATAGTATCAAGTAATGATTGATATATTTGGCTTAAAGGAACATAATATAAGTATTTAACATATTTGTCAAATAATACATGTATATTAGATTCATAATGCACTCTCCCGAATTTTTCTACCTCTACTTTTTTCTCTTAAAACTCTCAATATACCTAATTATATGGAGTTTTATACTCTGAGTGCCCATCCACCTTTAACTTCTTTGGTACTACAGATTTCTTTAGGCACATAATAATTTTGGAGGTTGAGAAAACTCGCTGTTCCCAATCTTTGTCTAAGATTATTGCTTTTTTTATTATCTTCAAGAGTCGCACCATACATCTATCCAATAATCATTTACTCTGTTCTTTCAGGTTATTAGGCCGGGAGAATAATATTATAACAAATAAAAAAACTTTTTATAAAACCACATTTTTGTAATGAACTAAAAAGTAGAAAATAATTTTCTCTTGTGGCTATAGAAATTTTTGAAAATTAATTGAGTCGATAGTAAGTGACATGAAAATTTTTGATTATGAACTCTTAATAATTACGATAATATTTGTAAAATTTAAATTTGGACAGTTAAATTTGGTTTTTTTGTTCGAAAATTTTTGGACGCCTCCAAAAGTTTCGCCATAATAAATTTTATTTTGCTGAAATTGTTCAAGAAACTCGGCAAATCATGGTAAAAGTAGTATAATATTGCATTGTCATCAGGTTCTGAGCTATAGTAAAAGTTTCAGAGCTCTAGCTAATCGAAAAGTGGGTTAAAATTGAGTTGCAAAATTCCACCCAGACAAACAAACAAACAAGAAAGCAAGCTAATAAAAACGTGGTAAAAATGAGCAGTTGCTTATACTCAGTAATTGATTAGCTTTACGTGAATAAAAACTTGCCTTACGTGAATAAAAATTTAAGCAATTTTGGTAAGTTTTATTCAAGTAAAGTTGAACAATTACTGAGTAAATTGCTTAACTTTACGTGAATAAAAATTTGAGCAAAACTACTAAAGTTTTTATTCACGTAAAGCTGACCAATTACTGAGTAAAAGCAATAGCTCATTTTTATTCACCTGGCCTAATGTCAAACAATTAATGCTCATGTTTCACTGCAAGGCATCATAACACTCTAGATGCATGTGATTAGGACGCATGTGGTGTACAACTTTTCTTTAATTTTTTTTGATGCACCTCTTGCTGTAAGAAGTAGAGATTTTTAAACTTAGCTCAGGCACATCTTATCCTTGCTCTTGATGTCTCCTCTGACCCACCAGTTGATCTGATTGTATCTCTGAGGTAACAAAATTTGCCAACACACTATCTTTCCACTACTATTTATTTCAATCTCTTTTCTGATTTTTATGTATTCACCGAAGCAACATTTTCTACATTCAAATTGTTATTGCATTTTGCTTACAAATTGCACATATCATAGAGTTTTCTATATCTCCTTTTTTACACATTTCACAAGGCCTTTCCAGTATTTTCCGCTCACTCATTTTCTACTTTCATCTGCATAGAAAATTACCTGCATAAAATAGTTCCCATGGTAAACCATCACTGAACTCTTTAGACAGAGTCTCTAAAATAATAATGAGCTAAAGCCTGAGCACTGAACCCTGATGCCAATATTTATTTTAAAACTCTCTCACTCTGAGATTTATTACTCTCTCCATCATTTGTTTTGATTGCTGTTGTGAAATTTTTTTTGCATCTCATCATCAGTATCAATTTTTTTCTCCGCTTCCTTTATAAATCTTTAGCACCTAACTTTTTTTTCAGTCATTTGGAATTTTATCTTTGTAAATAGCATTGCAATGATCTGATACTTACCAAACAACAAACATTTTTTAAAACCTTAAACATCTCAGCCAATACAGAAGATGGATCAGCAAAATTTGCCTAAACTGAGCCTAAGACTTTACTTACTTTAGGTTATCAGCTCTATTGGCCCACTAACCTTTATTTACTTCAGATAAACCTTTTTTATTTCAGTTAAACTCTTCATTTAGTAATTTTTCAAAATAAATATAAAAATAAGATGACCTTACTTTTATTTCTCCAACCGTCTTTTCACTTTTTGTCCTTTAATGAAGCCTTCTCCAACAATATCCCTGCTTTTCCTAATTATTTGGACAAAACAGTTTATCTTGATTGATCTGAGCTAAGACCACCAATTTGTAGTTGCCAATTTTCTATTCTAACTTTATTTCTATTGCCAATTTTTATTTCTTTATCTCAATATATGAAGAATTTACTATTATTTGTTTCTATCTATTATTACTTTCTATTTATTATTAGTTTCTATTTATTGTTAGTTTCTATTTATAATTTGTTTCTATTTATTATTAGTTTCTATTTATTATTAGTTTCTGTTTATTATTATTTTCTATTTATTATGAGTTTCTATTTATTATTAGTTTCTATTTATTATTAGTTTCTATTTATTATTAGTTTCTATTTATTATTAGTTTCTATTTATTTTTTGTTTCTATTTATGATTTGTTTCTATTTATTATTAGTTTCTATTTACTATTAGTTTCTATTTATTATTAGTTTCTATTTATTATTAGTTTCTATTTATAATTTGTTTCTATTTATAATTTGTTTCTATTTATTATTAGTTTCCATATATTATTAGTTTCTATTTATTATTAGTTTCTATTTTTACTTTTTAACATTTTCCTATCATTCTGATGCTGAGCTAAAACTATAAAATATTTTAAATTCATTTCTTTGTGAATGCAATTCTCATAAAACATGACAAAAACCCCTATACAAAACAATGTATGCATAGTTTTATTTTATTTGAAAAACCTAAAACCATAATGAAATTGCACATCAAATGCATGATTCAGTTGATAATCTATTTAAATTGTTACCAAGTTCTTTTTTTGGCTGCTGGTTCAATTCTTGACTAGATTTTCTATTCTGATTTCGATATATATATTTTTTAGTGTTATTCGCCATTAAAAATATATATATATAGGAGGAAGTCTACTTTTGGTGATTATAATCCTCTCTCAACTCCAAAACCCAAACCTTGACAAACAGTGCCGCTGCGAAGATAAACAAGTTGAGCGCGGTACTACTAGGAACGTGGTGGTGTGGGTCAAACTTGGAACTTCTCGCTTATGAAGCGACTGCTCTACACGACTACCTCATTGATATACTGGCTTTGTGTTGTTCTGATTCTAACTTTGAGTTTTAGTCAAGAAGTAAGAACTTGAACAAAATTTAAAAGTATTAGTGGTTTTACTAGCGATTTGTTTTTATATGTCAATATGTTTTGAATATTTTTTTTTTGTTTTGTGTACTAATATTTTTACTCTTTTTATTTTTCTTAATTGATCTGGAAATATTGACTTGATAGTATTTTGTACCAATTGATCTAGATATTGACTTGATAGTATTTTGTGTCAATTGATCGACATAAAATTGTCGACATAATATTTTTGAAAGCATATGTTTAGTTGGCCAGGATTTGCATAAGCTGTCTTTTTATTGCTTTATTAGTAGTCATGGTGTTTTTCCTGGCATATTTAAGAACGGTTATTGTCTAGATCATTTCTACAACCCCTTTTTTGTTATGATATAAGTCATATAATCGATACCATCATTAAAGGTGCGTGTCTTTTTTGAAAGAACTTAAAATATAATCACAATTACTTTAGGAAAAGTTACTTTAGCAAATTAATTGATGTTTTTTACCTTTTTAATTACATTAACAAAGAAATAATACTGCAGACATTATTCTTTATTTTCAGTAACATTTGACCTCAAGGAATTTTAGGTTCATAGTTTCTAATCTACATTAGTTTCTTATCAATTTTAGTTGCTTTGTTAATATCAATTTTATTTCAGCTTTGATACTGACTGTACTTTTTGAACATTAAACAATAAAAAGACAGTAAACCTTAAATGTCATCTCTCTTCTGTGTCCATCAGTTGCAAGTGCTGGTGAATTTAAACTCAAATAAAACTCTTAAAATAAATAAATCTAAAATATTTTACTGTTGACATCTGTAAATTATTGAATATCAATACTTAAGAGCTCTCTAACATCGCCATCTTTTCTTGATATATGTTGCAGTTTTGTTTTGTTTTTTTCAAGTTCTTTATTTTTCTAACAACTATTAACTTAAATGGTAATTTTCAGTCTGGTTTTTCTTTGTCTTGCCTATTTAAAAAAAAAATGTTATTTTTTAATGTAAAGCAATCAAATAATAAATTAAGAATAATTATATGCTACATATGTATATATTTACAATAAATAATGCAATAGAAGCTGTAATTGTAGTGTTTTCAATTATGTTAAAATGTCGTAAATTCGTTCGAATTGTTTAACGACTTAATTAATTTGTAAGAAATGTTGTATTTCGTTATCATATTAGTGTTGTTCATTTAAGTGTTAACACATGAAGAATAATTATACCCTAAAATTTTAAATTATCTTTTATTTTTTTATTATTTTTATTTTTTTTGTTATATTTAACTAGGTTAAAGGAATGAGGTTTATTATGAGTATCATTATGATTATTTAGGGGATGCATTTTTTAAATCGTGATTCCGAATCAAAAAAGATAAAAAACAATGATTTTAAAACCAGTAATTCGGATATTAAACGTGATGTAACGAGTGAGGTTGAAACTACCGACGGTGAACCTTTTCATATTAAAACGAATTCGGACGTTAAAAAAGATGTAATGAGTGAGGTTGAAACTACCGATGGTGAATCTTCACTTAATCAAAAGACTCATACGAACTTAGAAAAGGATTTGATGAGTGACGTTGAAACCACAGACTGCGAATCTTTTGTAGCAACTCATAAAGACTTAACACAAGTTGTAACGAGCGAGATTGAAACGACTGATGGTGAACCTTCCTGATTAAAAATTTGCACTCTAAACAAAATTAGCTAATTTAATGTTATACAATTCGATTGTTTGTTGTTTATATATTTATAAGCAAATTCTATGTTCATTTTGCTATTCTAACCATTGAATAGAATATTGCATTGCTATTTTAGCCGCTGCGATATTCACTTATCAGATATTGCAAACTGCATAGCATAATAAACATAGCTTGCAACATTGCAGTTTGCAATGTTGCAAGCTATGTTTTAACAAATTAAAAGTGCGCACTTATTTTTAAAAAGTCGTAAATCTCAAAATAAAACTAAAAAAAATAGTTGAAATTTAGTTAAAAGACAAACTTGTTAAATATAATTTCAGTTTTTAAAAAATTAATGTAGAGCTGATCTAGTTAGGGTTTTAATCAATGGGTCTCAATCAATAATTTTGCATAAAATCTGAACCTTTATTTGTTCCGAATTCCCAATTAGGGGGCATCCGTAAAGTTCGTATAAAGTATGAAGTTCATATTTACTATATGGACGTACGTACTTTATGGAAGACCCCTCGCGTTCTTTGAGTTTTGCATTAAACAGGGTTACAGTTATACTAAGCTTCGTCAGTTAGTTTACTAACATTTTTCTTCTGAGTAACTTTATGTAAGCTTTAATGAATGAGAAGGGAGTTCTAAGAGCTTTTGGATCACTAGCTGGTGAATTTGGAGGTACAAATTTGATAGCAATTCTATTACAGATTCGACAAAGAGTGTTTTTAATCCATGTTAACTTAAATATTGAGTAAAGAAGTTATCAACGTAATTTATCATTAACACCTGCTACCGCAGTATTACTAAGCCCGTTACTACAATTACCGCGGTATTGCCGTGATTTAATTCCTGTTCATTTTAAACATAAAATTGTTAAATGTTTTCAAAATTTATGTGTAAATCAATATAAAGCGCTTATTTGAGAATAGGCGTAGTTTCAAACGTGACACTATTTATGCTCTTGGATTACATCTAGATAATGTTATGAAGAGGTAATGGCCTAAAGATTAAAGCTTATTGTTGAAATGAGGTGGAAATGTCAACGAAGCAAAACTTTTTTGTTTTCTTAGATCAAATGTCCTAAAAGACAGGTGTGTCTAGTGATTGTTCAGAATCAATAAGATAAATTGCTCTTCAGAACATTTGGGTTAAATAAAGTACGCACCAAACTACAAATATCGAGAAGTTTTTATAACTAAAAAAGAAATATTGTTAAAAGATTATGTAGTAAAGGTTTCCGTGATACAATATGGGTTTACTCGCACACAGTTAAAAAATACTAGCGCATGATTTTCCCTAACATTATAGAAAAATTGTTCAAAAACCAATGAAAAAAAAACCTTGTTTCTGGACAAGATTAGTTGTATGGTTTTATAAATAGATGAAAAAGTTATTTATTTTTCCATTTTTTCATCTGTTGGTATTTTCTTCATTTATTGAGAGTGAACACACTATCGATCTGATACAAACGCTCCACTGTCCCAAAATTATACATATTTACAGCTCAGAGGTTACTTTCTTAAAAGTCACGACTTAACATCAGTTTACATATTTATGAGTGTCTATGCCAAAGAGGTTTAGCCATATCTAACCAGTGGTTAAAAATTATTTTAAAAATGCTCTAAAAGCATTGCTAGATAGTGTCCTTTTTTCTTCCTGCTCCCAAATATAAACTCGTTCTCGCTTAGAATTTTTAGTTTACCGGCCCTTATTGGCCCTCCTACATTAACAGTCTCAGATCTGAAAATGTCTTAAATTGTCCCTGCAATCATAAATTACGCAACTTAAAGTTTTGTCAAAAATTTTTTTTTTGCAGTCTTCAACCAAAAATTAATGCTAAAGTAAAATAATCTTTCACTTTTACTATGAAATAAGTTAGAAGTTGCTAAATTTACGGACAATCACATTAAAAAAGAACAATTTAAAAACGTGAAAACGGTGATGATGATAATGTAACGGTTGCAAAATAATATAGAGAAGCGGAACGATTTTGCGATTTGTCGGCTTAGGAGGAACGGCGTCCCCCCGCCGCGCTACTTTAACCCCAGGGTATAGTTGTTTAAAACTATTTTTATTTAAATAATTTCTAGGACTTTTGTTGATATTAATCAATATAAGTTTTCTATGTCAGATTTTCTTGATGATGAATACTAAGAAACTTAATAAAGTAATCTTTAATTTCTACTCTATCGATAAAATTTTAGGCAAACCTTTTGGCAAAAGACATTTTTTTTGAGGAAAAGAACAGAATTCATTTTGTTTTGTCAATATTTAAGGTTAATTTATTCCATTTGAACCAAGTAGAAATTTGTATGAGTTCCTTAATTATATTTAAATTTTGTTTTTATCATTAAGTAAACATTTTAAGCAAGGATCTGTTCTACATAAATGGGCTGATGACAATTTCAATAGGAAATATGTTTTATACTCAAAGGTTTTATTAGCTTTATCATGATTAGGTTTGCTCAAACTGCCTTTTCCTATGAGACATCCTAATTTTTTTTTGCTAGAAGATGCTGTATTGAATTAACTTGCTGAGGCTAAAAATCTTATTTTTTCAAGGTTATTATAATTTCGTCTAACTCAACTACCATATAAATTTTACAACCAATCAAATCTAGCATTTGTTAAACAATCTTTACCATTTAGGATTTTACTAAAGCGTTAAAATTGTGAATAAAAGTTGATTTTTGGGTTTCTGTTCAATATATGTAAAATTTAATTCTGGTTTCAATATATATAACTTTTATATGGTTATGTATTCATATCATGAAATATATGATTTTTAAAAAAAGTATAATTTTGTTAGATTAGTAACTTTTCAGCAAAAAAGATTTATAAAATATTTGGGGTTAAAACTAATGTTTTTAATATAACATTTTTTTTAAACAGAGAGTCCTACTAAATCTTTGCAAATAAGTTTCAGAAAACATGAGATCAGAAAAAAAATCAGCTGGTTTATCTTGATGGATTATCTATAATGGTGGTTTGTAATCAATTAAATTCGATTTTCAATTAAATTCGATTTTAAAATTAAAAAGTAGGGGAGAGCGGGGTTGGTTGTCACGCGGGTTGGTTGTCACAAAGTTTATTACAGGAAATGTAAATAAGATATAGAAATTTCAAATTATGCAATGGAAATGTTATATAAAAAAAACATTTTTACAGTAATTTTTATCTTTTTTTAGCGTGCAGAAGAAAAGTTATTCGTTTTTATAGGTTTTTGATATGAAAAAGTAAAATTTCGCCTACTCAGAAATTTTCTTTTACCAAACGAACATTATTTTATTGTGTTTTGAATGTAGATTTATAAAGTACTTTATTCATTTGAGTAACTTAATCCGTAAAAAATTATCATGAAATTCTCACGCTTTTAGGTAAATGTACAGTTGTCCAGCAACTTACTCAGAAGGGGTTGCTTGTCACAAAATATATGGGGATGGTTGTCACACTTGCCTCGACTCCATGCGCTGCAAATTAAACGCCGCTTGCAGATTTTTTATTGGCTTTGTTTATTTTCCGCATTATTGAGGAATATTTTAATGTTTAAGATATTATTTAAAAATCTAAAGTCAAAGTGTTATATTTGTTTAACTAAATATCTGTAACCTAAATTATTTTTATTTCAACGTGCATAACTTTAGATTCCGATCCAATGTTTAGTATAATTATAGAAAAAAGATTGCAGAAGTTCAACTGTTTATTGTTTTGTTTACAAACTAAACAACTAGCTGTTGTTTAGTTTGTAAAACTGTCTGTTGTTTTGTTTGTGCAATGTTTATATTTAGTGCATCTATTGTTTTGAATCATTTTTCAACAGCCGATCAAGAGAACAGTGGATTCAATGTCAGGTTTGCCAAAAACGGTCTCATGAAGAATGCACAACAGTTTATTTGTGAATTGTGTTCTTTATCCAATAATTTTTAAAAAACCAAACCTAAAAACATTTATAGTGATAAACTAAATTTGTTAATTGTGTTATATTTAAAGTATATATATTTCAGTTTATAGTATTTTATTTTTATTTTTCTTAGTAAAACATAAACGAAATTAATTTGTACTCGTTTTACATTAAATTCTTATCTAAACTTGTCAAAATCCAAATGTGACAATCAACCCCGCACCATGTGACAACCTACCCCGTGAGCGGGGCTAGTTGTCACACAGAAGTGGTCTTTGAAAAATGATTTTACAGCAATAAATATTTCACTCAATGTCATAAAAATATTATAATAGTTACTGGAAATAGTTAAACTAGCTTTGTGCAAAGTTTGGCATTGATTGGATGAAAATTAAAAGCTGAGCAGCCTAAAATGTAAAAAGTGTGACAACCAACCTCTCCCCTATATGTTACAAATTGCTGCAACCTGTATACTTGTTTTTGATATATAAAACATCGAATTTGCAAATTATTTTTTTCATTATATATCTTTTTAATGATTGCTTTAGTACCACCTTGAACTATTTTTTCACAACAAGGTCCAATGTGCTTTTGAAAATGTCCGATACATTCAAGTTTAACTACTACAACGTCCTGCAATGCTGTTGCTTTGAATTGCAACAGCATTGCAGGGTGTTAAATTAAAAAAAAAAGGCTGCATCCGTCACTGATTTCAGGTGATAAAAAACCACAGTTTCTTCAAGATTTGAAATAAAAATCTTGGTTTTTTACCACCTGAAATAGCTGCAATATCAATATCAATAGTTGGACAAACAATCTGAAGTCTGATTCAAAAATTGACAAAAATGATCTTTTATTAAAATTGGAAAAAATTTAGCAACAATATTCATCACAAAAAATGTTACGGGTAAATCTAATTGCGCTAACTGTCTGACTTTATTAAGTTTCAATCAAATCTCAACAGAATATCTTGAAATTCTGACACGTGGCGGTTTAACAAAACATTTTATAGCATTAGCTAATTATGTTTGTAATGGGTTTATAATTTTGGACACTGTAAAGAAATTGTTTTTAAAGTATTTCCATAATATTAAAAGCGCATCCTTGTTGTTGCTTTGATAGCGGTTTTATGTGTATAGAAAATAATGTATGGGGAAAGAAATTAGTAAACA